ACACAAGTGAGGGCAGAAAACTTCGCAAGCAGGGAAAAAGAATTTGACATACAGATAAGCGAGGAATATAGGACTCCAAATAGCTTTGATCAAAAAAAATCTACACATAGGAATATAATTGTTAAGAATCCAGAAACCCAACAGAAGAACAAAATTCTACAAGTAGTTAGAGAAAAGAAACAAATCACATACAAAGGAAAGCCCATCAGAATCACAGCAGACTTCTTAGTACAAACCCTCAAGGCAAGAAGAGCTTGGAGTGATGTGTTTAAAGCCCTAAAGGAAAACAAGCTCCAACCCAGACTGATGTATCCTGCAAAACTCTCTTTCGAAATTGATGATGAAATAAGACACTTTCATTACAAAGAGCACCTTAGGAACTTCATGAATACCAAACCAGCACTCCAAAAAATTTTAGACAAAATCCTAGGAAAAGACAATAAGGATCACAACCCCAGGAAGCCCAGAAGAATGAATCCACCGGCCATGACAAGTAATTAAAAGCACAGGAGGAGGATGAAACAAAAAGAAAAAGTCACGACAATGATAAGTCAATATATATCAGTTATAACCATCAATGTTAATGGTCTCAGCTCACCAATCAAAAGAAATAGACTGGCAGAATGGGTCAAGAAGCAACATCCAACAATATGCTGCATAGCAGAAACACACTCAATTCAAAAACACCTCACAGACTGAAAGCTAAAGGGTGGAAAACAATACTCCATGTGATGGGAACTTGAAAAAAAGCAGGAGTAGCTATCCTTTTTGCAGACCAAGTGGATTTCACACCCACACTGATTGAGAGACAAAAAAGGACACTATATCCTTGTAAAGGGAACAATCCAAGAGGAAGAGATGACAATCATAAGTATCTATGCACCAAACACTAGTGCACACAACTATATAAAATGAATACTAATGGACATGAAAAACCATATAAGCACTAATACAATAGTAGTGGGGGACCTCAATACCACATTGTCACAAATAGATACATCAACTAGACAAAAAACAAGCAATGAAATTCTAGAACTCAATCAAACTCTTGAACATATGAACCTAGCAGATGTATACAGAGTGTTCCACCCCACAAAATCAGAATACATATTCTTTTCAGCTCTACATGGGTCATTCTCCAAAATAGACCACATACTCACTCATAGAACATATTTAGGTAAGTGCAAAGGAATTGAAGTTATCCCCTGTATATTACCAGACCATAGTGCAATGAAATTGGAGATCAACAGCAAAAGAAACTGCAAAAACTTCATGAACACATGGAAATTGAACCACACACTTCTGAATAACCAATGGGTCACAGAGGAAATTAAAGAAGAAATCAGGCAGTTCCTACAATTAAATGACAATGACAGTACAACATATGGGAAAATATGGGACACAATGAAAGCAGTCTTACAAGGGAAATTCATAGCAGTGAGTACTCATATTAGGAAAACAGAGCAAGCCCAATTAAACAACCTGATGCCGGACCTCAAGCTTCTAGAAAAAAAAGAGCAGGACAAACCCAAAGCTCATAAGGGAGAAAATTATAAAGATCAGGGCAGAAATCAATGCAATGGAGACTAAGAACACAATACAAAAAGTCAATGAAGCCAAGAGTTGATTCTTCGAAAGAAAAAACAAATTTGACAAAACCTTAGCCAACCTTATCAGAAAAAGGAAATAAAAGGCCCAATTCCATGCAATTAGGAATGAAAAGGGTGAAATTACAACAGACCCCCAGAAATCCAGAGGATCATCAGTACCTTCTTTGACAACCTATATGCCAGTAAGATGGAAAACACAGAAGAAATGGACAGATTCCTAGACATGTATGAATTACCTAAGTTGAATGAAGACCTAAAAATTCTAAACAACCCAAAATCAATCAATGAAATTGAAAATGTAATTAAAAACTTACCACGTAAGAA